TAGAGTTGCGTCTGGCAGCGAGTGAAGCTGCGTTTGGTAGCGGTATAGAGTTGCGTCTGGCAGCGAGTGAAGCTGCGTTTGGTAGCGGTATAGAGTTGCGTCTGGCAGCGCTTGGAGCTGCGTTGGGCAGCGGTTGGAGCTGCGTTGAGCAGTGGTATAGAGCTGCGTTGGGCAGCGGTATAGAGATGCGTTGGGCAACGGTATAGAGCTGCATTGGGCAGCGCTTGGAGCTGCGTTGAGCTGCGGTATAAGCTGCGTTGAGCTGCGTTCGTGGCTATGAACGCGATGCGTCTTGATGCTGGTGTGCGGGGAGGACTTCCGCAGCTTGTTTTGAAGAGACCGTCAATTTGTAGTCTCTTTCTGTCGAAGCGTTACAAAAATCGTCATTTTGTAATCTTTGCTTTAGCTCTCTGATATGCAAGAGTCGTCAGATTATAACTCTCGATGTTGATTGTGAAGGTTGTTGAACTAAAGGTCTCATCGGTTGTCATGAAGGTCGTCAGATTGTAACCTTCAGCGATCTACGTGAAAGTCTTCAAATTGTAGCTTTCTGGAAGTCGTCAGATTGTAACTTCCATCATCGGTGTTTTGATAGGGATCAGCTATCTATTGTGATTTTTTTGACAACCTACAGTGACACAGACTCGAAGATAGGAGGGACGTACGGTCGAGCGATACCCACAACGTCGCACTCCGCATTGCCCTCATCGCCCTCTGAAGGTGGTGGAACAGACAATCCATTGTCATGCTTACAATGTTTACTCAGAGCACGGATCCTCAAGCACGAACCACACATCCATTGCCCCATAGCACGAAGAGTGACCCCAAATGCGTTGAAAATTGTAATGTCACAGCTTAAACGCTCCTTTCATTCCTCGACCTTAGACTCCGAATTGAGATGGTGTTTGCGCAAATGAACAACCAAATACCCAGGGGTGAGCCCCCTACCCTCAGAGCCTCCCACCACGCATCCGTCAAGTCCCTTGAGAGGGCAACAGATAAACAACTTTGATGGCGTCAAAGGAGGGGCTACGAACCAAACTGATTCCTCCACCTGTCTCGCATCCACCGAAGCACCCCTCTTAGAGCAACCATTGAACACCCGGGGTGCAGGGGGAGAAATGCCCACCATACCCACCTGCGAGCTTAGGGAGAAATCTCCAGCTGCCATGGCCATGAGCTTGGATGTAATCAACAAGAAGTTAAAAAGTGGATGAAATCAACAAGAAGTCGAAAAGTGGATGTAATCAACAAGAAGTTGAAGACATCAGAATTTTTCCCTTTTTTCTTTTTCTCTTTCTTAATTTTTCAAAACAACTTACAGATCTGAATCAGATCTGAAAGCAAAAACTGGCGCGAGATGGCGGTGGGCAGCGTTCATGCTACTGATGGGTGCGGGCCTGCGTGGGTTGGTGATGGTGGCAGATGGATGGGCAGGCGTT